CCAGGAGCTATACCAGATGACAATGAATTCGGTCCTGCCAAGTGACTAGGTTTATGCTATCGGATAGTGACAACCCCGTGCCAACTAGTGCGAATGGCTGGACTGAGAACTAAGCGATGTAGCTTGTACAAGATGGCAACCGCCAAGGGTGGAGTGTAAGGGCGTACTTATGCTAGGCCCTCAAAATCGCGAAATGAGTGGCCAGATCGAGTCCTCGTAACCAAAGGACTCGATCTGGCCGCTCGCTTTGTTATTTTGTGATTTTGAGGGCCTAGTGTAAACTCTAGTTCAAGAAAAGTTCGGAACAATATTGCCGCTGAATTTGCCGGAAGAATAGTGAAGAATTGGCAGAACAATTTTGGAGAAGTGCCGATCAGATGAGATAGCATCGATAAGCATGTGTGGATTTGAACGGTGGAACAACTGATAGCTAGCCACCTACTTAGCTGACAAACTAATGAAGTAAGGCATATTAGATTACCTCATAAAGTGTTGACTGTTGAATGATAAGCCAACAATCTATTTGCCGACTGGACATGGTTGTTAAACCACCAGTACTTCCTGAAGTCATGCCGGTTAATGCGCCACGATTTTAGGAAATGTATGGCCATGACAGGAGTGTCCAGATTCATCCAACTAGAAACGTTTCTACTCTATTTTTTTCCGCGGCCGATAACTGGGCCAAGTACTGGTGGTTTAATGGACTGATGGTTGTTTAGGGGCAGTTTGAGAAACCAGAAAACCAGACACTCAAAATTGCAGAATCAGGACTCAATCTGGTCGCTCATTTTGTGAGTGAGTCTGCCATTTTGAGGGCGTAGTGTGAGTATACTACTATACTCTAATTTTCCCTGAATTGAGGGCAAAATTGCAAATAGCAAGTAAATTTACTCACGTATTATGTCATACTTGTTCATTGCTTTTGATGTGGGCCGTTCAATGGTAGGGGAGGGCTGGTGGGCCCACAAAGAAGAAAAAAGCACTACCCCTGTTCATTTTTCTTCTCGCGACTTGAAATGATAAATTGTAGGGGGCACTGGGTGACACATAATGAAAATGAAAATAAGAGTTGAAACTTCCTGGAAAAAAAAGAACCAAAAGGACCAAGAGAGTATCCAGCGGCCTAGCTCAGTTGGTAAGGCACGCAAGTGGCATCAGGAGGTCTTGGGTTCAATTCCCATTGGCCTCATTTACCTTCCTGGGCAAGCTTAGTGCTCGCCACCTAGATCCTCCGAGCGGCATTAAACCACCAGTACTTCCAAAGGTTGTGCCCGTTAACAAGCCACTACTTTAGGAAACGTACAGGCCACTACAGGAATGCCCAAATTCATCCTACTAGAAATGTTTCTACTCTATTTTTTCCTGCAGCCGATAGCTTCTCCAAGTACTGGTGGTTTAAGCAGAGACTGCTGATTTTTGTAGGGGGAGGCCACTGGAAGAGGGGAGGCACAGCGACTGGCCCATCGAAGAAGCTCGGTCCTGATGCTACTGGCTGACCCCAGGCCGGTATCGCCCACCTGCTGTAGCAGGTATCGCACCTTCTGGTGGGTGCAGCTCCCGTATGCTCCCTCGTTGGAGGCTTGAGCACGGATGTGGCTGCTACGGGGTTCCCCATAGTACTATAATGACAATAAAAAAGGCCTGAAAGGCCATCCTGTCTGGATTCGACAGGTAGTTGAATTGGTTGGATTTCAAATTATTAGCCTATAAATTTTAAAAAAAGAAAAAAGAAATAAAGAAAGAGGTGTGCAAATGGCATTCAGGAGGTTGTGGGTTCAATCCCCACTGACCGCCTGGCGGACACTTGGTGCCAACCAGCTGGGATAGTTGCCGTATTAGCCGGCTTGCTCCCCCTGGTCAGTATTAGTAGGGTCTTTAACCACCTGTACATGGGCACATGGGCCGTGGGTCTGACACCTCGAAGTCTGGAGGCGCGAAACGAAAACGGGGCCTCCCGATCAAATTTATCAACGGCGGGCCTAGCGTTTGACGTTTCGGCCTCGTTTTCCTGTGGCGACAAGTTTCGGACTGCAAGGCTGCGGCCGTGTACTGGTGCTTTTAGCCAACTCAGGTGTGAGAGTGTGTGAGTGGGTTGTGTGTGGTGAGTGGGTTGTGTGTGGTGTGTGGGAGAGTGTTTGCCTTAGAGACTGCTGTTACTCGATGGGGGTGGGGGAAGAAAAAAAGGGAGGTGCAGCCACTGGCAAAATGCGCGGTCTTTTTTGTGTTAGCCAGGTCCTCACAGGCCACCCCAACCCTGGCAAGCGGCGACATCCAGTTCCCCTTGATTGTGAGACGTAGCTATGCTTGCAGGCCCAATGTAGGGGTCCTCTCTATCGCCTTAGGTGTAGTAGCAGGTAGGTAGGGAAATGCAAATTTGAGAGGAGAATATAGCTTAGTTTTATCCAATAAAAAGGAAAAGGAAAAAAAGAAAAAGAAAAGAAAAACTGTTACCTGAGACACATGAGCCCGCAGCCTAGCTCAGTCGGTTAGGCACAGAAGTGGCGTTCAGGGGGTTAGAGGTTCAATTCCCATTGCCCTCATGTACCTACCTGGGCATACTTGATGCCTGCCATCTTGAGGTAGCCTATTTGGGCCCCCTGATGCTCGTAGGGGGAGGGGACTGGAGGGGAGGCAGAGTGACTGGCCCATCAAAAAAGCTTGGTCCTGATGCCACCGGCTGACCCCTGGCCTGTGAACACGGGCTGGTTGCTACGGGGTTCCCCATAACACTATAATGATAATAATAGGCCTGGAAGGCCTTCCTGTCAGATTTGACAGGTGATTGAATTGGTCGGGATTAAAAGGATTAGCCCTTTTTTACCAAAAAAGAAAGAG